AGGGTTCCAGTTTTCTACATACACCGGCTTTACATTCTGTGAATTTAGGCCCAGCAAATGTTAATCCCATAACCGATTCTGTCCTCTTAAAAATGCCTGAAAGTAAGAATGTAGTGTCAGACTCATTTTCCAGTGTTGTCCAGGTTCCCAGTCCATCAACATTTTCTGTTAAAGAATCCATTGGCTTAACAGATAATCTTAACAGCAATGTAAGGAATTCCGATACGTTAGCGGGTTCTCTTAATATTCCAGTTTCTTTAACACAATTACTTAACAGAGTTAGAGATAATTCTGTTATTATAACAGCTGATGAGCCGTCAACAGATGTTATTACAAATACTGCAGAAAATATTGTGGGTAATGTTGAGACCGGTGGAAGGGAAATTATCTTAACAGATACAGCCAACAGTAATGCAAAAGGGTCAGTTTCTGTAACAGCTTCATTTAGAAGTCCTGTGTCGTCAACAGAATTCCTTAACAGTGCTGTAGATAATTCTGTAACTGATTCTGTTAACATAACAGCTGATGATCCGATAGCAGCTGTTATAACCAATAATGCGGAAGTTTCTGAAAATAAATCTTCAGTAAATGATGAGACCAGTCAAGGGGACATTGCAGACATCTCAGAGAACTCTGTTGAGTATAATATAGAAGATTCTGAAGACCATAAGTCTGTGGATATTTCTGAACGGGATAACAAAGAAATTGTGAATTCTGAACATGAAGATTATTATAATGATGACGATGAGGTAGGATCTGGGGAGAATGATGAAGATGTAACTGATTCCACTGATTATAAGGAAGAGAACGTGGATACAGAAAATTCAAAGGAGTCGACAAATAATGACGATATTACGAATGATGCGGTTGGTGATCTACTAAGTGGTACTGAGATTTCGGACAACAAAAAATCTGAGGATTTTTCAGACAGCAAGGATTCTACGGAGAAATCTACTATAATAAATGACGAGGGTATTATATTCGAAAAATCTGAACAACCCCTAGAAATGTCAACGAATTTTCAAAGTCACGGGAAATTAATTTCTCCAAATCTTATCCTTAGGACAAATCGACTACGAAATAATACCAATGGTATTCTACCGGATCTGGTGAAAAATCTTCTATCGACAGTCAAACAAATTCTAATATAGAAATAATTATGCGAATATAAATAGTAATAATTTTTTTGATTAACAAATTAATAAAAATTTTATACATATCATCATTAAAGATATTTTGTATTCGGCTTAATTTGGAAAATGTAACCCTAATGATTATTAATAGCAATAAACTATGTACCTGTTATATATAAGTACTCCTCAATACTCGTTATAATAATAAAAATACTAAAATATTGTTGTCTTTGATTTATTTTTAAACAGAAAAAAGCGCTAATAGATATTTGTTTAATTTTCAACAATACAAACATCAACGCCATCTATATCTTAACATACATATCAACACCTATAAAAAACAGGGTGACATAATTAAAATATGTTTTGGAATTGGAGGATTTAAAGGAACTTTCAAGCGTGGGTTTTTAAAGAATATTTTTTCAAGGACCTATACAAGGCGTGGATTTTTTAAAGAATACTTTTTAAGGACCTATACAAGGCGCGGATTTTTTATAGAATATTTTGTAAGGAACTATACAAGGCGTGCACTTTTTTAAAGAATATTTTTTAAGGACCTATACAAGGCGAGGATTTTTTTAAGAATATTTTTTCAAGGCCTATTATAAGGCGTGGTTTTTTTTAAGAATATTTTCTTCAAGGCCTATTACAAGGCGTGGATTTTTTAAAGAATACTTTTTCAAGGCCTATTACAAGGCGTGGATTTTTTAAAGAATATTTTTTTCAAGGACCTATGCAAGGCGTGGATTTTTCAAAGAATATTTTTTCAAGGACCTATGCAAGGCGTGAATTTTTAAAGAATATTTTTTCAAGGATCTATACAAGGCGCGGATTTACAAAGAATATTTTTTCAAGGACCTATACAAGGCGCGGATTTACAAAGAATATTTTTTCAAGGACCTATACATGGCGTGGATTTCTCAAAGAATATTTTTTCAAGGACCTATACAAGGCGTGGATTAAAAAAATATTTTTTCAAGGACCTATACAAGGCGTGGATTTTTTAAAGAATATTTTTTCAAGGACCTATACAAGGCGAGGATTTTGTTAAGAATATTTTTTCAAGGCCTATTACAAGGCGTGGATTTTTTAAAGAATATGTTTTAAGGACCTATAAAAGGCGTAGAATTTTTAAAGAATATTTTTTCAAGGACCTATACAAGGCGAGGATTTTGTTAAGAATATTTTTTCAAGGACCTATACATGACGTCGATTTTTCAAAGAATATTTTTTCAAGGACCTATACAAGGCGAGGATTTTTTTAAGAATATGTTTTCGAGGACCTATACAAGACGTAGATTTTTTAAAGAATATTTTTTCAAGGCCTATTACAAGACGTAGATTTTTAAAGATTATTTTTTCAAGGCCTATTACAAGACGTAGATTTTTAAAGATTATTTTTTCAAGGCCTATTACAAGACGTCGATTTTTAAAGAATATTTTTTTAAAGTGTGGATTTTTTAAGGAATATTTTTCTAAGGCGCGGATTCATTCATTGACTAGTTCTGTTTCCTCTACCTGCAAAATTCCAAAAAAGGAGCAACTTGAACGGCTTGCGTCCAACGTGAATTCGGTGATAGATGAGTTGGCTTAACTGAGCAGTTGAATAGGTGCAACGTGCCGTGTGGTCCTAGTCCACATGCAGAACATGTTAGGTATCGAGCCGTCAATTCTTGCCCAATATGAATTGAACCATCCTGATCATAGTTGAGCTAAGACTACTCGTATTGGCCTTGGTAGCTGCTACTCCTCTCCTGCGATGAATGGGGGTGGTCTCCAATTATGGTATTCACGCGATATTGCTCTACTGCCTGAGCGACTGTGTCGGTGCGAATACCATTCAGACCTGCTTGATAGGCTTCTTGATCTAGGGGTTCACACTTATACCTTTGGACTTCTCAATCTAGCTCATGAAGATCTTTCCTGACGTGCCTGAGCGGGGGAATCCTGTCTATAAGACTGTGGCGTCCATAAGACTATGGCATCCACGCTTATACCTTTGGACCTCTCTCTCTAGATCATGAAGATCTTTCCTGACGTGCCTCCTGTACATAAAATTATGGCATCCAAGCAAGTACTGCATCGACAACATGTAATTGTGTCGATGTACGGGTAAGATCTTCGTCTCCTCATGAAGATGGTCCACAGGAGTCATGAGGAGACACCCTTTTGCAGTTCTCAGGGCAGCATTCTGACAGGTCTGGATATTATTCCACTGCATACAGCTAACATTCTGGCGCCACATAGCTTACCACTGACCGGCCTATTGCTTTATAAGAGGTCAACAAGGTTTCTTTGTCAGCGCCTCAAGTGCTGCCGGCTAGCGACATGAGGACATTGTTCCTACTTCTACTTCTCAGTTTATCACAAAAAGCAGTGGCTTGCGCAGACGACTTGAAAAGGCTGTCGAGCGTTACTTCCAGTATCTTGGTGGTCGGAATCAGTTCTCCATCGACCATTATGTTCAGTGTGAGCTTCATTTCAGCCGTCCATGTGGTGAACAGTGTGGCTGTTGATTTTGTGGCGGATATTTTCATATTCCTCAGATGTAAGAAATTAACAAGATCGGCTATGTAGACGTTTAACCTCTAACATATGCCATCAATAATGGGACCTGACGTCATTATCGTACAATTATCCGCATACATTACGGTCTCTATGACGATACAGACCATAGCAGTATTTGTTGGCCAACATATTCTCCTCCGGATTTCAAAGCTGCTGTTTTTAGATTTGTTTATGGCGGTACCGATGTATTTAAAATCATATTCACTACCTCGAAGCTGTAGTTTTCAAGTTTCAAAGTTGGTCTGAGTCCATTGGGTGTCTTGCGTGTTAATACCATCAGCTTGGTATTCTCGCAGTTTTATCGGCAGACCCAGTTTTACTGGCAGACCCAGACCCAGTAACAGCCACCTTGTTCAAAGGTAGCTGTTACCACTCGTGATTTTCGACCCATTATGTCGATGTCGTCGGCGAGTTTGGTGTATAGTGTTCACATTTGCATCTCGTATGAACTTTTCCAGCGGGTTGTTAAACAGATCACACGACAAACTCTCACCTTGTCTGAATCATCGTTCGGTATTGAAAGGTTCCGAGAGGTCTTTTCCGGCAGAAAATGCTGACTTTGTGCCACTTAAAGTTATCCTGCATAGCCGTATTAATTTTGCAAGAATGCCGAACGGAGACATGGTTTTAAACACCTCTGAACGGATAGGGCTGTTGAATGCGGCTTTATAGTCGACTTGCCTGAATCCTCGTTCGGTTTTGACGGGCTCCGAGTGGTCTTTTCCGACTTTAACTGCTGGCATTGTGCCATTTAATGCTATCCTGCATAACCGTATTAAATTTGCAAGAATGCCGAACGCATACATGGTTTTAAACACTTCTGAACCGATAGAGCTTTCGAATACGGTTTTATGTGTCGATAGGGTCAGCATTTTTTCATGTGTCCTCAACAGGCGTAGATTTTTAAAAATATTTTTTCAAGTGTCCTCAACAGGAAATATTTTTTCAAGTGTATGGTATCTGAGATGATTTGTTTATAAAATATTTTCATTCGTAATACGTTTATTAAAATATCATTTCTTTAGCATACTTTTCGGCGAACACAAAATTCATCATGAATCATATATCTATATAACTATTAATAATAATTAATAAATTAAGTATAAAATAAAAAAATATTTTTTTTCTAATTTTATATTTGTTTTTTATTCTCTTTTCAGATATCCTATTAAACCAAAGACCAGCCAAAAAAATTGTAAATTATGTATTGTGAACTTAAATTTTGATAAACCTTAAATTTAAAAAAAAATAGTGAACTACTTCTCCTTTCAATCGTTGACTGAAACGTGACACTTGAAGAACAGGCCATGCGTCTGTCAAAACTTGTCAATCAAAATAAACAATTAAAATCCAGTGCACAGAAATATGAACAGCAACAATATCGTGATTGTCCTGTTAAGGGTCAAATGGGCGGATTTAGAAAGGTTAACAAAAGCAACTGAACTCTAAACACACGTCTCTCAAGCTCTCATATTCGCTCTCGAAAAAAAAAAAAAACCATCACAACCTTAGAGAATAATCTCAGAACCTCTATTTTAATTGTTTTCAATCTCTCTCTTTATCTCCCTACAGCGCCTCAGCGGCACCCTTAGCATTCTCAGCAGCAACAATAGTGGCAGCTGCCGTAGTATTGGCACCGGTGGCGGAGGAGCAGGCGGTGCCGGCAGCGGCAACATCAACACGAGCTCCCTGCATCAGCGCAGCAGTTTCGGTAACGGCAGCTGTGTATCGTCGTCGTCCACGACAAATTCATGCCCGAACAAACGACGTAAGTCGAAAACATTCAAGTGTTTCAGTAGCACAGTGTTTCGCTGTTGTCTTCCTTGTCGCGGGGGCAGCAGCTCAGCAGCCCCCGCTACAAGTCCACCTCACACGCCCGTGCAGGCAACGGCAGCAACTGAAGCGGCCGCGGACAATAGCTCAGTAAAACGCAAACGATCCGGCAAATCTTCCATCGAGCTGACGGACGGCAACGAATCGCTGATAGCAGCGGCAGCAGCTGCCGTCAAGAAACACTCACTGGCCGATACCATCGGTACGTCGGCCACCACCCCGATTTCCCTGAAAACCCTGATAAACGACGAAGAGGACATTGATCAGCAGTATAGTGCAGCGGATATAGCAGCCGCCTCATTGGCCAGTGGTATTTTGCCGCGTAAGGCCGAACCGGAGACGCTTAGTGACACCAGTATCTCACCGACAGCAGCTGCTCTCCAGACTGCTGTAGTGGGAGGATCAGCTTCGGCAAGCTCCCTACTGTCGACTACAACATCGCTGTTGTCCGTGGCCACTGCAGCAGCTCCAGCCATAGCATCAAGCCAATCTTCACCAACAACACCACCGAACGCAAATCAAGCCAATATTGTGGGGACACCGGCAGGCCAAAGCAGCGGCGCCACAGTTGTCTCACCCGTAACTGCAAGTGCAGGAAGTGTTGGTGCAGCAGCAACAGCGGCAGCAGCAGCTGGGTCGACACCCTCACGTTGTTGTTGCCCACCGCCCCAAACCTCGCCATTACCTCACATCAAAGAAGAAGAAGAGTCTGAGCATCAACTGAATCGCCAGCACAGCATACAACAGGACGACTCCACAGAACCCACCACCAGCGCCAAACAGCAATTATCCTCCCAAAACGATCAGCTCTCCCCATACGCCGCCAATCCCAGTGGCAGCAGTGAAAGTTGTACCTCCCTATCGGCTAACGCTGTTACCACCTCCTCCGCCACAGGTTGTACAACCCAAGATTTTACCACCTCAACTCCATCGCCCCGCATCAAACATAAGTTCCGTAAACAACACAAATCGGGGTGGTCACGTATTGTGTTAGCACCCAGTAGCTTAGCTGGTGTAACGGGAGGTTGTGCCGCCGCAAATTCAAGTGAAACTCTTGCCTCGAACAATAGCAGCAGTGCTGCAACAGTTAGTGCCGCCGCCGGCACTGGTAATACTCGTTTAGTTTCATCGTCGTTAGCATCGGCCCTTGGCGCCCAACAATCGAATAGTTCACAGCTATTGCCTGCCAGCAAAATGCAAGCGGAACAGGGATCAATTGGTGATCTGCAAAAGTATCACAGTCGATACTTGAAGAATCGTCGGCATACATTGGCGAATGTTCGGTAAGTGGAGGAATTTACTTGTTTTCAGAAATATTTTATAATATCAAAATAGGGATCAACCTTATGGTCAATAAATATCGATGATTACCAGAGCCTGATATATTTTTTTCAAGGTTCATATTTTTGAGAAGATTTAAAAAAATCGAAATTCATATATAGGCGTAGATTTAAAAAAAAAGACTTTTCCGATTTTTTTTAATGTTTTTTTTTTAATTTTTTTTAAATAGTTGTTTAAGTGTCCTCAACAGGGCTGGATTATTTTAAAAATATGTTTTTGAGGGTCCCCAACAGACCTGGTTTTTTTTTTTTTTTTTTTTTGAAAAATATTTTCAAGTGTCCTCAACAGGCCTGGATTTTGTAAAAAAAATATTTTTAAGGGTCTCAACAGGTCTGTTTTTTTTTTAATAATTTTTCAAGGGTCTTTCCTATTTGTTTTCTTAAATTATCCCATAATTTAAAGAACTCATCACGTCTATTAACAATTAATCCTTCTTCGGATTTGAATATGCTGCTGCTGTTCGCTTAATATTGTTCAACTGTCTGTTAGCGATTAATACGGGACAATTAACAGGGTCATTATTTTTCTTTCTCGCATTTCCATTAATTCCATTATTATTCATTAGTTTGAAATTAAACTCGATTTAATCTCTTAGCACCTGCAATTGTACGCGTCGAACAACGAACAGGCAGAGCACTTGAGGGCTACTAAGATTATTCGTAGAAACTCTCAACTCCTGCCGACGATGGCAAATTAATTAATTCTCTTTCGGAATAACATTTGTGGGTGTCAAACGACTGCTGGTGCTGATGATGATGACGATGGTTTTAAATTAATTTTGATAATAATAAAATATTGTATTCGATATTTCAGATAGGAAAATAATTGGCATTCATTAACAAAGGGATAGTCCGTTAATATCCTGTAAATTTGTAATTGAACTCCGAGGGGCTGTTACATGACTTAAATTTGAAGAAGAAAAACATGAGGAGGATAATTAGGCGTAGATTTTGTTTTTAAATATTTTTCATGCACCAAAAAGAGCCGTGGTTTTTTTTAAATATTTTTGCAAAAAGAGGCGTGGATATATTTTAAAATATTTTTTCATGAACCAAAAAAATAGGGGTGGAGTTTTTTAAAATATTTTTTTCATGGACCAAAAAATAGGCGTGGATTTTTTTAAAATAATTTTTTTCATGGACCAAAAAATAGGCCTGGATTTTTTTAAAATAATTTTTTTCATGGGACAAAAAATAGGCGTGGATTTTTTTAAAATATTTTTTTCATGGACCTAAATATAGGCGTGAATTTTTTTTAAATATTTTTTTCAAGGACCAAAAGATAGGCGTGAATTTTTTAAAAGTATTTTTTTCATGGACCAAAAGATAGGCGTGAATTTTTTAAAAGTATTTTTTTCATGGACCAAAAAATAGGCGTGGATTTTTTTAAAATATATTTTTTCATGGACCAAAAACTAGGCGCGGATTTTTTTAAAATATTTTTTTTCATGGACCAAAAAATAGGCGTGGATTTTTTTAAAATGTTTTTTTCATGGACCAAAAAATAGGCGTGGATTTTTTTTAATATTTTTTTCATGGACCAAAAAATAGGCGAGTATTTTTTTTAAATATTTTTTTTCAATTTTTATTATGTCTGCACTATTTTTTACAAAAATTAATTATTTAACATTTAAGAATTAAACAATATAATTTATAGCAACTCCAATGTCATAGGTTGTGACTGAATGTCCTTAGTCATAGGTGGAGCACGAATATCCTTAGTCATTGGACGAATACGAATATCCTTGGTCAACCTGGGAACATCTCTGGTCAATTTTGGTACATCTGCTGTCATTGGTACATCATTTTCGGTAATTTCCAATGTCATAGGTTGCGACTGAATGTCCTTGGTCATTGGCATTTCCTGTATGGGCATTTCCAATGCCATTGGTTGAGAGCTAATGTCCTCGGTCAGGGATGGAGAACGGATATCCTTCGTCATGGGAGGAGTGCGGATATCCTTGGTCATTGGCATTTCCTGTATGGGCATTTCCAATGCCATTGGTTGAGAGCTAATGTCCTCGGTCAGGGATGGAGAACGGATATCCTTGGTCTTACGAGGACCACGAATATCCTTAGTCATAGGACGAGTCTGAATATCCTTGATTATAGGGCGAGCCGGAATATCCTTGGTCATTGGAAGTTCATTTGTGGATATTTCCAATGTCATTGGTTGAGAGCTGATATCCTTGGTCACAGATGAAGCACGAATATCCTTGGTCTTACGGGGGCCACGAATATCCTTAGTCATAGGGCGAGCCAGAATATACTTGGTCTTAGGTGCGGAACGGATATCCTTGGTCATTGGAACTTCATTTGTGGACATTTCCAATATCATTGGTTGAGAGCTGATATCATTGGTCACAGATGAACCACGAATATCCTTGGTCAGACGGGGACCACGAATATCCTTAGTCATACGGCGATCGCGAATATCCTTGGTTTTAGGTGAAGTACGAATATCCTTGGCCATTGGAATTTCATTTGTGGGCATTTCCAATGTCATTGGTTGAGAGCTGATATCCTTGGTCCCAGATGAAGCACGAATATCCTTGGTCTTACGGGGCCCACGAATATCCTTAGTCATAGGGCGAGCCCGAATATCCTTCGTCAATGGAACTTCATCTATGAGCATTTCCAATGTCATTGGTTGAGAGCTAATTTCCTTGGTCATAGGTCGAGAGCGAATATCCTTAGTCTTACGAGGGCCACGAATGTCCTTAGTCATACGGCGATCGCGAATATCCTTGGTCATAGGACGAGCCTGAATATCCTTGGTCATTGGAACTTCATCTACGAGCATTTCCAATGTCATCGGCTGAGTGTTTATATCCTTGGTCATATAGCGAGAACGAATATCCTTGGTCTTACGGGGACCACGAATGGCCTTTGTCATACGATCGCGAATATCCTTGGTCAATCTGGGCAAATCTTTAGTCAAACGTGCTGGCAAATAATTTGTATTCATTGTTTCGTCGTCGGTAGATGGTCGTAGCTCCAAAGTAGTTGCCACTGGATCCACGATATCTTTGGTGAGACGTGGCAGGGCCACGCTGGAGGCAGTAAAAACGGCCAATGCCACCACAGTGGATACAATAAAATGTTTCATTGTGTGTATGTGTCTTCTGAGAGGGATGCTGGAAGGTAATGCTATTCCGTGGTTATTGAGCCAGATTATTTATAGTTTAATTTTTTATTTTGAAAATGTGTGTGTTTTCTTTAAAAACCTTGATACTACTGTTAGGATATATTATTTGTTTATTTAATATTGCTAAAAAATTAGGCTATTTAAACAAATGCTGTAGTTGTTTGTGCAAAATAGGCACGTGTTGTGAAAACCATTTTTTGTCTGTTTTTTCGAATTTATTAAGACCAGGGTCGTTTGACAAAACTATTCCCAAACTATGTAAACAATTTAAATTAAATATTTTACTCGACCTAGGAAAAATCCATGCCCTTGGGTAATATTTATAAAAATTTCCACGCCTCTATATGGCATTTAAAAAATTGTTTTAAAATAGCCATGTCTATATATGACATTAGAAACTATTTTTAAAAAATCCACGCCTCTATACTTCTTACTTACTTAGCTGGTTTGAGACAGAACTTTCGTTCCATAAGCCGAGCTTAAAAAGATTTCCAGGCGCGTAGGTCTTTTGTGCAGGTTTTCCAATTTGAAAGATCCTATTTGGCAATGTTGCCTGCACTTGATCTTTCCATCTTATTCGTGGTCTTCCCCTTCTGCGTGAACCCTCAGCCGGTTCGCTTTTATATGCCTTTTAGGCTGGTGAATCTTCATACGTTCCAACAACATGACCTTGCCAACGTAGTCGCTGCAGCTCAATACGTCTAACAATACCGATGTCCGAGAATAGCTGGTACAGCCCATGGTTCATTCGACGGCGATATTCACCGTCAACGCAGATCGGCCCATAGATCTTTCGGAGAATTTTTCTCTAAAACACTCTAAGAGCTGTCTCATCTGCTTGCGCAAGTGCCCATGCTTCAGATCCATATAACAGCACGGCGACGTCTTGTAGAGTGTGAATTTTGTCTGGCGTGAGGTGGCCTTGTTTATGAGTTGCTTACTCAGACCATAGTAGCATCTGTTGGCCATCACAATCCTTCTCCGAATTTCAAAACTTATGTCATTCGTTTTGTTCATGGCGGTACCAAGGTATATGAAATCTTTAACTACCTCGAAGCTGTAGTTCTCAAGTTCCGCAGTTGGTCCGAGTCTACTAGACGTTTTGCGCGTTGATACCAGCCGTTTACTGCCAGGCCCCCTTTGGCAGACTCCTTCTCAATTTGTTCAAAGGTGGCTGTTACCGCACGCAATGTTCGGCCCATTATATCGATGTCATCGGCGTAGGCGGTTAACATGTGTTTTTTTGTGTACAGAGTGCCATTTCTGTTCACCTTAGCGTCTCGTATGACCTTTTCCAGCAGGATGTTAAAAAGATCACACGATAAACTGTCACCTTGTCGGAATCCTCGTTCGGTATTGAAGAGCTCCGATAGATCCTTTCCGACTTTAACTGCTGACATTGTGTCACTTAAAGTTATCCTGCATAGCCGTATTAATTTTTCTGGACGGATAGGGCTGTCGAATGCGGCTTTATAGTCGACCAATAGGTGGTATGTGTCGATGTGTTTATCGTGGCTCTTTTCCAGGATTTGGCGCTGAGTGAAAATCTGATCAATGGTGGATTTGCCAGGTCTGAAGTCGCATTGGTATGGTCCAATAATGTCATTGACCATTGCCTTCAATCGTTCACACAGCACACTGGATAGCACTTTATATGCGATGGGAAGAAGGCTAATTCCTCTATAGTTGGCACATATCGTCTTGTCAGCTTTTTTGTGCACGGGACACAGGATGCTGAGTTTCCAATCATTGGGCATGCATTCCTCAAGCCAAATTGTAATTATCAGCTGGTGCATGCTCCTG